TATCCTTTTCATAGTATGAATGTGTTCTTCATTAAAAATAGTTTCGAAGAAAGAATCAATCAAAAAATACAGTAAGATTCTAGTACAATTCTACTGTACGTACCTCTGATCCGCCGGGCGATGTGACTTCCGTCGCCAAAAATAAAGGATRGTATTAGCGATAATCAATCCTCTGTCGATACCTAACTTCGCCGTCGCACATTTTTTATATTTCTCTACATGATGTCGTTCACTTTTCCGTGTTCAGAACCCAARACAACGAGTCATTAACGTGAACAATCCTCAACCTGAGATAGCCTTGWAGTGAGAATAGATTGGCACGCTTCCTGTGTTTCAAATCCGTTCCAAGATGAGATATCATACGAAAGGAAACTCTAATCAAAGTGGTAGCAATGCGTATAGCATATCCGGGCGTATTGGCCGCAATGAATCAARCAAAGAAGATCGTGAGGCATCCTCTAGGTTCTCGTCAGCACCAAATGTCCGAAATGTTAGGGCGGCCGATAGATCTACAAAAGAGGAGGGAAGACAAGATGTCATCATCGAGGCGCAGGAGAGAAGCGACGATAAAGAATATAGAATATTGTACGACGAGATCGAAAGGATAAATCGCATCCTTCAATCAGGATCATCTCGGGAAGCAGTTGGAACAATATCTTTGACATCAWCATTCAACAAGGATGCTGAGATATCACCCAGTATGCATGAAAAGATCATGCGATTGATTAAAGCAATGATGCCTAATTCAACTCCCGATCAAAAAAATGCATTCATAAGAGACTTGTTTGATATGGGGATCAGGGTGGGGCAAAATAAACAAGATCGATCACAAATACAGCAACAATCTTCCAGCTACGAAGTGGGATATGAGAGCATGTTCGAGGAATCTAATTCCATTGTGGAAAGCGTGAGTGGGAAAGAACAAAAAATCTCAACTCTCGATGAATTTGATGATGGGTCGAATTCAATTATCGAAAAATCTGGTGAAAAKTACCTAGAAGACGACCTTTATGCTTCCACTAAGGGTGCGAATTCGTCAACGGAAGTCGAAAATCAATGGGATGAATTGAGAAGTAAAGCACTCAATGATAATAGTGGGAGGATAAGTAGCGCGGCTGTTTCTCTATCGTCAGAAATCGAAGCAGCTCTCATCGAGGACTGCGTTGCAACAGGAATAGATTCATCCCCCAAATCTCGCGCCTTGGCGGGCTTTCAAAAGAACCTCATTGATGGAGAACAATGTTCTGTTCATCATCGACTGACTCCAGCATACCAATGCCCACAGGCCGAAGACAATTCTAATTTCTCAAAAAGACGGGGACAGCCCGATGATACCAGTGGTCATCAGCCCATGCGTCCACGATGTACCCATCCTAATCGCTTCGAAATCGAGACAGCCTCAGAAACAAATTCAATACTGGAGGACWATGAAATCRATGCGGATGACATACCATCAATTGATGAAGGAACTTCGACTACATCAAGGAAGAAAGACGACGGAATAGGTCTTGAGCAGCCCGGAAAAGGCACTTTCTTCGACGTAAGTGAGCCAGCGAATAGCTTTCAGAGTGAAGAAACACAACTTACAAAGAAGGTCAGTCAGGATATRCAGTCTTTCAATTTCAAGCGCGACAACTCTTSTAAAACGCAGAGGCAAAGACGCGCACCAGCTACTTCAGAAGGAACTGTTGACAGAGAAGAAGAAAATTATCCCAAAATCGAAGTCACCCTAYATCAATCATCAGGAGATAAGTCACCAAGTGCCAAGACATCCAATTTGGGCCTTGTAGAGAGTACTACTAGAAGTCATCCAGGAGATWTTTCTATTGTAGATGAAAGTATTGGTGATAGCGACATGATAGTAGGGGATAAACCTGGAATCTCATCTTCTTCATCAGAGATCGACGATATGTCCGGTTCAGACGGAGAAAATGCAGAGCTTTGTGATGCAACAACGACTGACTCATTTCGTCACCTCACTAGTCTTATCCACGTGAAGTCATCGTTGACGATTGGTACAGAATTTGCTTCTCCGAAGACTGATCAAAAAAAGGCAGAATACTCTTTCTTTCAAAATGTTGATCTTTCCGTCGGTGAAACCAATGGACAATCCTTCACTGATAAACGACAAGAGTCTGAAGCTGAGATCCAACCAAGTTGGAGGTTGGATCCATCGAAAAGTCTATCAGACTTTGAATTACAAATATTAAGCGTCGAAACAGGGGAAACAACCAGTTATTTTGTGCATAAACATATGATGGCGGTCGGTCCGAGAAGTAGCGATTACATGAATGAGGCTTTTCGCTGTGAAAATTCCTCTACTTTTCAAGTAACACTGGATGAAAAAACATCCCCTCTCGTGCCCAAAATATTGGATTTCATATACCATCGTGAAAATGAGATCAATATTACGACAGAGAGTGCAGTTCCTTTGAGACAATTAGGAAAGATGTTGAAAATTACCCACATYGAAGTGAAGGCTGCAACTTTCATCCTCAATGATATGGATATTAGTAATCTTGCGCAGTACGTCGCCGATAGCTGTCACTTTAACGACGAAGAAGTAATGAATGCTGTGGTGGAGAGATGCTGTGCAAATATTGAAGCCATTCCTATCACGGATCGCTTGTGGATTGTAATGGAGCCGGAACTTTTTCTTCGCATTATCTCGTCAAAAAGTTTTGATCGGGATACCCTCAGTAAACATCTCAGTGTATTACTCACTGAGTACTTGGAACTTCACCAGTACGAGATAAACATCGATCTCTTCGCAACATTGACAAGCGAAAAAATAATYCCTACAATGGATCGTAACGCCGCGATGCCGCTTATCGAGCTTTGTCAATTCTACGATTCTTCTAGAGAGTGCGAAGCGCTGCAGAAAAGATGTGCRTATACTGTTGCYTCTTATTGGGATACTACGTCACAAACAGATCGACAAAGGCTATTTTCTCTTCTACGTAACCTTCCTTCGTCTCTTACAGTAGACTTTTTAGAAATTGTCGAATCAGGAAGCTGCACTACAGAAAAAAGGAGGAACGAATTGGAAACGGAACATACSACAATTGTTGCAGGAATTCCTCCTAAAGCCATGTCTATTGAAGATCTTTGCGAAAATGCTTTGAGRGAAGGTAACGAGAAAGAGCTGCTAAGTTGGAGAATGGATCCCCAAAACAGTTACAGCGATTGGGACCTGCWCATCAAATCTTTGAATCACGAAGAAACTCAAGTTTATCACGTTCACAAACATATTTTAGCTGTTGGMAAACACAAAGGTTCCTTTTTTGCGCAGAGTTTCAATTCRGAAGAAGTGTCTTTAGAACAAAAGGGATGCACAACAATTTTATTGGATTGTGAGGCCGCTTCGGTTGTTCCGTTCGTGCTTGATTTCGTTTATTYAGGAGGTGATGAGTTGGAAATTTCGAACGAGAATTCTGTACCATTGCATTACGTCGCACGYGTTCTGGGAATYTCGACTTTGATTGAAACAACAACAAGTTTCATTGAGAATGATATTTCACTTGATAATATTGTTGATTACATTATTGATGCAGGTTACTATAAAGACGACAAGACGATGACGTTGGCGACACGGAAGTGTACGCAAGAAATAWCTTCAATTTGTGTCGACTCGGACATATTACAAAACATTGAACCTGAGATCTTTGAAGAGATCGTTTCTAGTGAAGATATCAAGCAATCAGAGAAGTGCCACGTGAATGTCCTGATTACRAAGTACTTTTCTCTTCATGATTTTCAAGGAAACTCGGCTGAAAATCTCTTGAAGTGTATTGATGTCGATCAAGTCGATCAATTCTCAGCCTTGACCTTACTCAATATATTGAGTGGTTCTAAGAACTACGAGGGAGTGGAGACTTTTGAGAAAATGAAAAAGAGTTGTGCTTTTGTGATCACAGAAAATTGGGCTGACTTGACGGAGGACAACATTCGTCGCGAAGAGGTATTTTCCATGTTCCCGTCACTGAATGCTGATCTGCTAACGACGATGTT